AGAGAGAGAGAGAGAGATAGCGAGAGCAGGAACGCAAGCAGGGGGAGTGGGAGAGGGAGAAGCAGGCTTCCCGCCGAGCAGGGAACCTGATGCGGGGCTCGATCCCAGGGCCCTGGAATCATGACCTGAGCCGAAGGCAGACGCTTAACGACTGAGCCCCCAGGCGCCCCCCTGGATGCCTTCTTGATTCTGGGTCTGCACTAGCAGTGGTGTGCAGTATAACTGCACACCAACCACCAGTTGGCCTTAATGAATGTCAGTCGACTGGGGGGTTATGGGGAGCAGATGGGTCCCTGAAGCACTTTCCCATCCTTGAGATGCCAGGAGATAACCTCACTCCTCCACCTAGCCCTGTGGCATCAGCCTATCTCCTCAGCTGGCCTCCCCCAGGGGACACTCCGGGCTGCAGATGGGGCTGCCCACTCACCAGGATGCAGGAAAGACGGAGCAGTGCAGGACACAAACACACACACACACACACACACACACGTTACCACCACCCCCCCCCCATCAGGACCTTGCTTCCCACAGAAGCTGGAGTGGGAGGGGCCACTCAGACCCAGGAGTCAGGGTCAGTCGAAACTCAGCCTTGAGGGGTGGTGTGGACCAGGGTGGGCTTTCCAACTCCAGAAGATGCCCTGAAGAGCCAAGAAGGGGGTGGGGCGCGGGGGCTGCCCTGCATTCGGATCCCACTCCTTTCCAGGACGAGGGAGTGGAGGAAGAGGAGGTGAGGGCGGGCAAGGCTGGCAGCCTGCCAGGTGCTTCAAGGCACAATCTGGTTCTGATGTTCCAGGCAAACTGGTGCCTGGGGCTTGTGACGGAAGTTCCCAACAGTGCCCCCACCCCTCCCTGATGCTTTCTTTCCTAACAAAGAGCTGTCCTTGACAAGCAATAACTGTCTCACCTTGTCTCCTACAGGGAAACCAATGAAAAGCCTGCTGGTGGTGGCTCTCCTTGTCATTTTCCAGGTGAGATCTGTGGCCAACAAAAGCTCTGTTCAATCCCCAAGCCCACCCTTTCCCAGCCCCAGGGTCCTGGTGGAGGAGGTGGGCACTTGCTGGAAGGAAAGAGACCCAGACACAAACCCACCCGCCATTCCTTAAGCTGATGGCTGCCCCGCTCCATCCGCTGAGTGACCCTACAAAGCCACACATGGTCTCTGAATGTCCTCGACACCATTTAAATTAAAACACAGAGGAAAATAAGATACCACCCTCTCCCCCACCCCACCTCCACTGTCCCCATCCAGGATACAGAAATGTGGGCTCCATCTGAGTCTGTGGAGAGGAACTGCACCAAGCTGTCTCCCTCGCCCAGCGTCCAGTCAAAGCCTCCCCTGGAGGCCCCAGTCCCTTCTGTGAAATAAAGAGTCCCATTTGAGCCCCACTTAGTGGGGAGGGAAGAAAGCATGGGGCCCAGGGCACTGGGGGTAGGGGGAGCGCAAGTACTTTAGAGGGTCCAAACTCTGCAGGAGCAAAGTCCCCCGATTTACACTGTTCTGCTTCTCAGTCCCAGAAATGGAGACAGGAAAGCTGGCCCCACCGAGGGCTGCAGTTAGAAGAAACTGTAACTCATAGTCTACTCTCTTCCATTTCTTGGGGCTGGGAGCTCTCGGGGGGCGGGGGGCGGAGGGGAGGCCAAGGCCAGAGCTGGAGAGGCAGTCCTTCAGAATTTGGCTCTTCCCCAAGTCTGGAGGCCAGAGGGGCAGCTTTCCAGGAGCTCCGGCCAGAGGCAGGCCCCAAGCTGGGCACTGTTCCCAAAACCCCATCCCAGAGGCCCCCCGGAGCTTGGGCTGCAGCCCACAGCTTGGCCCTCTTCCCCATCACCACTCCCTCCTCTCTTTCTTTCCCGTTTCAGGCCTCTGGAGGGGCTGTACTGCTAGAAGTGGAGGCTGGAAGGTTGGGGAAGGGATGAGAGACAGCTGGGGCTCATTCTTCTCTTTACTTGGGGGAATGGGGGTGGCTCCGATGGGGCAGGATGTGGTGGGACCGTGGGCTGCAGAGGCATCATGCCTAGTGGCCCGGAGTCCGGAAGTAGTAAAAGGTAGAAAAAGAAGACAGGACAGGGTGGTGGAGAGCACGCTTCATAGAGGCTGGGTGTACCCCCTTATGTCCAGGGACCCCGGACTTAAAACCCTGGGACTTATCACGGGTGGCCGAGAGCAGCCAGCCTCCCCAGGACCCCCAGGCTGCAGTCACGCCCAGATGAGGGCAAGGGGAGTGCCACTGACTTTTCTCAAGATAGCAGTGCCCAGAGAAAAGGCTCCTGGTTATTATTTTGTCCTCGTTCTGTGACAGTGAGAAAGTCAGGATTTGGAAGTGAGAAAGACAGAGACGGGATGTGGGGAAGAGACTAGGTTCCACTCCGGCTGTGTGACCTTAAGCGAAGTTCTCCAAAAGCCTCCCTTTCCTCATCTCTAAAGTCCCTCCAGCTCCCCAGTTGCGTGAAAACCCATCACAGTGAGCTGCCCAGAGCCCAGTTCCCAGAGGAGGGGCCGTGAGCTTCCCCAGGCAGTCTTGCAGCCCAGCTGCCAGCCTGCAGAGGCTCAGCCGTCACTGTGCGCAGAGGTACAGGGGCAGGAACCCTCCTTCCTTGATAAAATCACAGCAGGCTGCCTGGACCTTCACCCTGCCCTGCAGACGGCCTAAATAAAGGCCCTGAGCAGCTGAGCCCGGCTGATCGGGATCTGCCGAAAGAGACTGCGAGGAAGAGAGAGACAGAGAGGTAGGGGGAGAGGGTGGGAGTGCAGAGGGAGAGTGGGAGATGTAGCCACCTGCTCTTCCTGGGGATGCAGGGAGGACTCCGTCGCAGCTGAGGAGGCTGTGGCCCAGCGGTGCATCCTCCACCCCTGTAAGAGCTGTGCAGTTCAGTGCACTCGGGCACAAGTTGCTGGAGCCCCTGCCGCATGCCCGGCACCGTGCCTCGGGCCCTGGGGATCCGTAGAATTCTGCAAGTCACTCACCACCCGGTGTCACAGCAGCTCGCCCCAAACCAGGGCTTCCAGGCTTCTTAACAGAGCATCTGCCATCCTCTCTTCTGGCCCCAGGCTCTCCTCCACCTTAACCCCGACGTGGATTTTTCCTCAAAAGCTGAAGTATTTTGTAGGCTCCCTGGAAAACTCTTTCTAGCAGATTCTAAAAGGGGACTCAAGATGAAAGACTCACATTCCTACTCTCCTGGAGTTTCTGGGTGCCAGAATCGAGGTTAAGCACCTCACGCCAGCCACGTGAGGGAGATAGTAGTCATGTCCATTTCATAGATGAGGAAACTGAGGCTCAGAGATAAAGTGTGTTTATCCGGCCCAAGGCTCATGTGACCTCAAAGCCCAGACGATTTCCAGTCCACTGTCAGGGCACGTAATGTTGAGCCTCTCTGAGTTGGCAAGAACAGACCCTTGCTACTTATTAAGAAGCACAGAATCTCAGGTACCGGCCTAGTCAATCGGGACATGCATTTTGACAAGATCTCCAGGTAATTCATATGCATGTTAAAATTTGGGAAACACTGGTTTCAAACCAAAGAACCACCTGGAAAATTTAGAAAAACAGATTCCAGATTCCAGAGCCTCCCTCCCCACCCCCCCAACCCCCCCTCCGCCGAGATTCTGGTTCGTAGGTCTCAGGTGGGGTCCGAGAATTTGCAGGTGATGCTGATGATGCCCATGACGGGGACCACATGTTGAAACCACTGCTCTGGGCAATCCCAGGGCAGCAAGATTAGCTGAGCTGAGCTGGATCCCACTCAGCTAAGCTGGATCGTGTTGCCCTGTTCCCTTCCCTGCAGGTGTGCCTGTGCCAAGATGAGGTCACAGATGATTACATTGGAGACAATACCACGGTGGACTACACACTTTATGAGTCCGTATGTTTCAAGAAGGACGTGCGGAACTTTAAAGCCTGGTTCCTGCCAATCATGTACACCATCATTTGCTTCATGGGCCTGCTGGGCAACGGGCTGGTTGTGCTGACCTACATCTATTTCAAGAGGCTCAAGACCATGACCGACACCTACCTGCTCAACCTGGCCATGGCGGACATCCTCTTCCTTCTGACCCTTCCCTTCTGGGCATACAGCGCGGCCAAGTCCTGGACCTTCGGCGTGCACATTTGCAAGATCATCTTTGGCATCTACAAGATAAGCTTCTTCAGTGGCATGCTGCTGCTTCTTTGCATCAGCATCGACCGCTATGTGGCCATTGTCCAGGCCGTCTCGGCCCACCGTCACCGTGCCCGCGTCCTTTTCATCAGCAAGCTCTCCTGCGTGGGCATCTGGATGCTGGCCATGGTGCTCTCCACCCCAGAGCTGCTGTACAGCGGCCTCCAGAAGAGCAGCAGTGAGCAAGCACTGCGGTGCTCCCTCATCACCGAGCACGTGGAAGACTTGATCACCATCCAGGTGGCCCAGATGGTGGTGGGCTTTCTGATCCCCCTGGGGGCCATGAGCTTCTGCTACCTCGTCATCATCCGCACCCTGCTCCAGGCCCGCAACTTCGAGCGCAACAAGGCCATCAAGGTCATCATCGCTGTGGTCGTGGTCTTCATCGCCTTCCAGCTGCCCTACAATGGGGTGGTCCTGGCCCAGACGGTGGCCAACTTCAATATCACTGGCAGCAGCAGCTGTGAGCTCAGCAAGCAGCTCAACATCGCCTATGACATCACCTACAGCCTGGCCTGCGTCCGCTGCTGTGTCAACCCTTTCTTATATGCCTTCATTGGCGTCAAGTTCCGGAGCGACCTCTTCAAGCTCTTCAAGGACTTGGGCTGCCTGAGCCAGGAGCGGCTCCGGCAGTGGTCCTCCTGCCGCCACACCCGGCGCTCCTCCATGAGCGTGGAGGCCGAGACCACCACCACCTTCTCCCCGTAGGAGGCTCCTCCGCCAGGACTAGAGGGCCGGGGACAGGCAGCAGATGACTGGGCTCCAGATGCTGCAGAGGGAAAGGCAGTCCCAGCCTTGAAGCTCTATCTTGTGGGGAGAGCCCATGCGGCAGCCCGGGCCTCCCCTGTGGCCCTAGCTACCTCCACCCAGGTTGCAAAGCGTTGTGACCGATGAGCCACACCAAATCCTGCAACACTCCAAAACCAAGGCTGTTGTCCCCCAGACCTAAAACCGAAAGTGGAAGTCAGGAAACAGTCCACACTTGGAGTGAAGGGAGAGTCGGTGACAGGTAGACCGGTGGAGGGGGCCTGGTGAGTCCTCTGAATGAAACTCTTTCGGACCTAGCAAGACATCCTCCCTGAGATTCGAGGGCTGAGGCAAGGCCTTCCAGAAAACAAGGCTTTGTCTCCGAGGCCGGAGATGGTGGGGAGACTTCTTGGCTTGGCAGGGAAAGGGGATGCCAGTGGGTCAAAGTCTCTGAATTCCTCCCTCCATCTCTTTTTCCACTGTCATCTGAGCCGCCAAGCAATGGCAGCCTCCAGGCCTCCCTGAAAGCACATTTGCCCCTCGCCTGCCCCCTCTCATCAGGCTGCTGCCCGGCCTCGGGGAAGAGTGTGGTGTTTCCTGCAGGCCAGGCCAGCTGCCTCTGCCCGGCCAAAGCCATGCTCCCGGCCAGGACTCTGGGGCGACAATGACGTGCGGCGAGCCCTTCTCGGGTCTCAGCTCTGCTCCGATGGAAGAGAGGGCAGCGAAAGAGGTTAGGGGCCAGGGGGTGATGACCGTGCGGGCTGCCAAAGAGCAATGAGCTGCTCTTTGTTCTTAGTCGTGAGGACAAAAAACTCTCATCCTGTCCTGCTTTCAGTTCATTAAGACAGCACAGTTTACTCACATACAAATACAAATTTTCCCTTGCGGAAACAGCAGCTTTAAAAGAAAGGGGGGAAATTTTTGGTAAATGGCAAACGGGTATGTTCCTGTTTTGCAAGCCCCCACCTCCCACCTGACCACGCCCTCTTCTCTCCTTTCCCTGGCCTTCATTTCTCAGAGATGATCCGAGCCATGAGGTCTGCCTAGCTATGCTCTGAGCCCATCCAATAACACAGGCCCAGGAGGCTGAAAGAGGTAGAGGGAGGGGAAGCCCAGGGTGCCCATCTTGCAAATGCCTTTCCAGATCTCGTGGGAGAGGACCCAAGCCTGTGCCATCAGCAGTGACCCAGAGACACGGCCTGAGCTGAGCTTTGGAAAGAACAAAGTTGTCCCTATAACCTCACCTTTAGCAACATTTGCTCACTGGTCAGCTCATCTGTCCCCTCTCGGTCTGGAACTAGAGCCCATAACCCTTTGTCAGTCCCTTCAAGCTCCCCACAGTGGTGTTTAGAGGGGGGGCCTCCCCCTGGGCACACAGACCACAGCATGCTGGATTGAGGAGGCTTGGGATGGCACCCGTGGGATAGGCTGCACACTCTGCTGGATGCTTGAAAGCCAGGTTCATCCATGACCCAGACCGCCATTGCAGCAATAGCCAATGTCCAGTGACCCATCATGGAGGGACAGGGATCGGGGACCAACCACTGCCCTCCACATAGATCCACGTCCCTGGGTGCCCTGATGCCTGCCCAGAACCCTGATTCCTCCAAGCCAGAAAGGAGGTTAGCCCAAATCTGTGATGTGTGAGGAGGTGTCTGAAGGGCCCAGCGGGGGCCTGGCAGGGGGAGACGGGGAGGTGACACGGGGGCAAAGGTGATTCCATCAACTTTCCAAAGTGAAGAGAGCCTGCCTGGTAATGAAGCCCATTCCCTAATGTCATCAGCACATGACATTCCCCTCCACCGCGGGATGCACTGGGCACCATTTGTCAGCCAGCACGCCCTGGGGAAAATGAAGCGGCCCGGGCACAGCCAGCAGGGAGCGGTGCTTGCCACGGCCGCGTTGAATATTAAAAGACGCAGCAGCAGATGTGTGTGCACGAGTGGGAGGTGAGAGGGGGCACCCCAGAGTGCCTGCGGGCTCCCCGAGAAGAGCATGGAGCTCGCTGGTGTGTACATCCTAATGAGGGTACAGGAAGGTAACCGATCCTCAGTTCCTGAAGCAAGGAATTCAAAGGAACGCTCATGAGCAGGAAGCCTGGCCAACCGCACAAACACACCATCTCGGCTTCAAATACATTTTTCTACAATAACTGGACATCTCCGAGTATTTACAAAGACAACAAAACCCCAGCAATGTTAATTCCCCAAACTGTTCTATCTCAGCTCATTGCTGGCCTGGCCCCTACTCCCTTGCCCAGCGCTCTCGTGGGCCTACCCTGAACTTTGGGGGACCTCTAGGAAGAAGGAACAAATTCACTGGGGAGCCCCCCCCACCAGTACCCAGGGCTTCTCTCTCTGTGTCTCTCCTCTGCTTCATACAACTGGCCCCCATGGCCCCTCCCCGTCTCCTGCAGCTCCCCCTTCTTTCCATCCCCAGCCTCCCTGGCTGCAACCCCAGGGCCCAAATCTGCCCGTCCAGCCAGAAGCACCATACCTCCAGAATCATGGATTCACAGGACTGCAAGGGACCTCAAAGATCAGCTGGTCCAACCCAGTCATCCTCTAGCTGGGGAAACTGAGGCCCAGAAGGAGGAACTGACTTGCTTAAAGAGACTTTGCAATATAAGGGTACCGGGTAAACTTGCTTTGGGGGCCTGAGGATCTGGCAGGATTGTGGGAGGTGGATGGGGGGAAGCAGAGGCTCTGAAGCCAGGCTGACTGGAAGCCTCATCTCTATTGCTGCCCAGCTGTGTGACCTTCAACTGTTGCTCAACTGCTCTGAGGCTCAGATTTCTCAACTGCAAAATGGAGAGCATTTGGCAAACATTTTGCACGGTGCCTGGAATGTTGAACGTGGTGATGAGGAGAACAGGATTTGCCAGACTGCCTGGTTTGAATCTCAGCTGCGCTACTTGGGCTCCTTACGTAGTCTCTCTGTGTTTTCGTTTCCTAATCTGTGTGATGGGGAAAATCATAGCACCTACCTCCTAGGACTGTTGTGAGGAGCAAATAAATTCATATATGTAAAATGCTTAGAAATCCTTCTGGAAGTGTTGTTGATCATTATTAAGAAATGTTTAATACATGGTAGCTAAAAAAAAAAAAAAAAAGTTACTAACCACAGGGAAACCAAATTCAATTCCTTAGCCCCATTTCCATCCCCCACAACTTATAAATCAAGCTGGAGGACAGCCTGAAGATTAGTCAGTCTGTCCTTCCCACCAATTGTATGGGTAAGGCAACTGAGGCTCAGAGAGGTAAATTACTCACCTGTGGTCTCTTAGGAGCTCTTGGCCATGCTAGAACTTGAACCCTGGTTCCCGAGCTCCATCCAGAGCTCTTCCTGCAGATCTCCTGCACTCCCCCTGTCCTCCCCTATGCGTCCACCCTGGCCTATGCCACCCCCATCCCAGACCATCTAACTCTGCTCTGGCAAGCATCGTCCCCCTCCCGTCCTGTGGCCAGGCCCTTAAGGAGCATCTCCCCTCGCCCCCATAAATAGTCCCTGTCCTTGTCACTGAGTCCAGGAGAATGAGGTACAAAAGAAAAGAAATATGGCAGCAGGCCCAAAGGAATTCAGGCAACTGATCTTTTTAAGAAAGGATCCCTTCTGAGAGTCAGATTTATTTCTGTAGCAAAGGTAAATAGAGGGAGAAGAAACAGGCCTTTGGGGGCAGGGGTAGGAGTTGAGGCAAATGAGATGGGCAGCGGAAGGGAGTAATTCTGAGTGGAGAGCAGAAGGAGGGGAAGGTGGGACAGCGGTGCATTCTAGGGACGACACGGCTAGGGGCCCGACTTGGAGAATATTGTCAGTAGGTAGAACAAATCACAGATGGGGAGAAAGGAGCTATGTTGGTGTTAGAGACAGGGGGGTTCATGGCCTTCTTTACCAGAAGGGGGTTAGAAATGGCCCAGTTTGGCCTGGTTTGAGCCCCTAGAAAAACTGCAGGGAGTAAAAGAGGGGGTGGTTCTCCCTGAACTCAAAAGAACAACCCGGAGAGCCCTCCCAGCCTCCACTCCGTGAGAGCAGATGTTTGAGGGGCACTGCAGGGAGTAGAAGCCTCATGACACAAACATACACACACACAAACACACATGTGCACGTACACCCACCACCCCCCAGCTCCGTCCTTTGTCTTGTCAGGGGCCTAGGAGGAGATACAGACAAGGGATCTGCTGCAGAAAAGGCTGCATAGCCCCTTGCTTCGCCAAAGCAGCTCTAGACTAACACATCTCAACTAATCTCCTCCAAAATCAGAAATGAGGACACGTGAATGCTCCCACGGATTCGTGTGTGTGTGTGTGTGTGTGTGTGCATGTATGTGTGGCCCAGTTCAGACTGCTCTTCCTCCTGCCTGTAATGTGAGGATGGATATCACCTTATTTTTGTCTATTGTTCCCTAACCCCAGGGATTTCACTTGCTGGGTTGTTCCATGTGTCATAGTAACCACCGCACAATTGGCCTCCAGGTTCTCATCTCCATGTAAATAAACACGGGTGTGCACGAGCAGGGTGGGGGCAGGCTTTGCCGGGTTCTGGCCATCTCCACTCCCTCCTGGTGCAGTAGGTCCCCAGGTCATACGTCCATCCCCTTAGCAAGAAGGCAGGGGAAGAAACACCTCTTGCCCCCAAGCCCTCTCGTGCCTGTGTCAGAGTTTGCTTAGGGCAGCAGAGTTTCTGTTTGTTCCAAGTAAATAGCTGACGTTGGGAAGTTCCACGGACTCCACAGATGAAATGCCCCAAATCCTTTCCCAGCGTTTAAAAGGAGGCCTGGAAATGCATGCACATTTATCTTTTCTGGTTTATGCAAAATGTGCTTGAGTAACGGAAACAGGAACACAGTCGCATGCGAAGGCCAAGTGGTGCATTCTTCCCAGGCCCAGGAGGTGTTTTCTGCGGCCAAGCCAGGAGCCAGGAGTCACCCACGCTGTGGCACCAGCTCTGTCTCTTGCCCGGAGGCTTGGGCTTTGTCCCCAGTAGCTAACT